TTGACCATCATTATCCCTCACTTCGATATTGGCACCTTTATCAAGCAATAGCTTGATAATAGCCTCATGACCACCTACAGCGGCCAGGCCAAGTGGTGTTTGACCATCTCCGTCCTTAACTTCGATATTGGCACCTCCATCTAGCAAAAACCCGAGAACAGCATTGTGGGCGAAATATGCTGCGAGATGGAGAGATTCTAAATTGTACGGATGTGGTGGATAATGCGACCGCCGGTAGATCTGGTACCATTTCCAGAAATTTTCTAGGTGCCGGTCGCAGAGACTGACTCCGCGATGGATAATGCTATTGGAGCCGTTGAATGAAGCTTCACGGAAATGGTCAGGCCAGTAGTTGGCCGAGTAATCTAAGAAATCGGCACATGCCCCACTGGGAGAAGTCTCTGGTGAATTGAAGAGCTCGAGGTAGGTGACGCAGATCTCAGCAAGGGCTTGGTGGGCACCGCGGGTGGTGACAGAGTGATGCCAGTGCGAATCCGGCATGGCTGTCGTCAGTGGCGACAGGGGGGCGAGGAGAAATTCCCTGGCTGTCTGGTGGAGGAAATAGACCTTGCCATGGTACACCGAGACAAACAGTCCACACCACGACCTCAGACGGACTTGGAAATCCTTTTCCGATTCCAAGTCGAGGGCCTCTGGGATGCTGGTATCGGTGTCTATGTTGACGGCGATGTTCATTTCCGATAGCGTTAGAGGCCTGCTTGCCACCAAGATGATGCTCAACGCTTTCCGAACCATGGCGGTCTGGTGAGATTTGCTGAGTATTTTCTCGTATGCTTGGTTGACGTTCTCAGGGACCATTGCGAGGCTGGCATCGACGCCCTTCATGGTCCTTTTAAAATCGGACTCTTTCAGGAAGTTGAACACGAGGTACACCCAAAGGTAGGTGCGGTGTTTGACGCCAAGTAGCCGCTCCTTCAGGCGGCCCTTGACATCGTCTCCGAGCTCTTTCTCCCGTGCGAGTTGCTCGACTCGATGGGCGACCACAAGATTCACCTCTCTGCTGATGGCGTCTGACTCATCTTCGCCTGGAATGCGGATGAATGGAAAGTCGTCGACGAGATCCCGGAATTCCGCGAGGATACCCTCGTATGGTCGGCAAGTTAGCAGAGTCCGGAGCTTGCCGTGAGATTGCTGCTGCCGCGTGCTTCGGTGGAGTTGCTTCAGCTTCCGGGCTAGATCCCGGAACTCAGGTTCGAGGCATTCGTCCAGCGCATCCAGGACTAGGATGACGGACCCCGTCTGGGCATCCTGTATGGCGTCTTCCAAAATGCTCCACAAGGATGCGGTGTTTCTGACCAGAGCTGGGCCATCTTGCGCATGTTTGGAAATGGCATGCTGGATTAGGGGGGGCTTGTGCGTGAAGAGCTGATGGAGTAGAGCGCAGAGCGCTTGGCTGACAGTGTTCTGGTCCTGGTCCTTGAAAAAGAAGTAGCAGATGCTGGCGTCGTTGGGAGACCCAGGCAGCACCTGGTCGATCAGATACTTTGCCAGGACTGACTTGCCGCAGCCGGGGTCTGCTGAAACCAAGAGCGGCCCCGAACCTTGTTCGAGCCACTGTTTGAAGTTCTCGTGTTCGAGGAACCACTGGCAGGTATCTTTCACTCGGTCTTCCACGCGGTCTTTGTACCACTCGTACGAGACATCCTTGGTCCCTGCTGTCAAGCGAAACAACTGGTGACACTGTTCCTCCTTGTCAGTCCGACTCTGCCTGGCAATGCCAGTCTGGATCTCAAGGGTTTGTTTCGCAACTTGGAGGTGCTCCTGGCCAGTGGCGAGTAAGCGCTGCATGTCGCCGAGGGACTGAATGCTCTGCTTCCTCAGGTCTTCCAGCTTCCCTCTCGCCACGAAAGCGTTGATGCGCTCCAGATCTTGGTTGACAACAGTCTCTAGGCCGGTGATTTTCTTGTGCCATCCTGCCCAGTCGTCATACCCGACCACATCCCGTGCAAGTCCTTTACAGCGACTTTGATATAATCTGAGGACGGATCGGAGTTGGAATTCCAAAATCTTCTCATAAAGTTCCACAATGTGGGCGGTGACTTCGGCCATCAGCTCTCCGCTAAAGTCGCCACTTTGCGCAAGGCTGAAAACCTCAGGCTGAAATGCTGTGTAGTAGCGCATCCGGGTGGTCACATAAGTGAAGCCTTCACGATTGGCTTGCTCGGCGGTTCTGTGATTTGTGAGAAGCGGGAGCACAATGGAAATGCCGGCCCAGGCAATGGAAGCCTCGGGCGAGGCCTTGGTGGCGAGATCGATCCAGCCCTTGGCCCACAGCACCAGGTCGGCAGCCTGAGCAATACGATATCCCACGGCGATTTCATGGCCGGCAATGGTCCATTTGAGTTTGTTTTCATCCAGACGCTTCAGGCCTCGCTCGGTTATTGTCTGCAAGCGCTCCCGGCCCAGTTTGTCGCTCGTGTTGGTAGTCGTAGTACTGTTGGCCCCGTCCAAAGTACTAGTACGATCTGTGCCGCTAATAAGTTAGCGGCCTTACAAGAGAATACCTTAGATACCCAAGTAGGAGGGGAAGGGGAGAACATGCCTATTGTCTTTAACTCGTCGAATAGCAAGCCCTCGTACTTCGCTACTAGCTCTGGCTCATGTTCCCCGAGTGCTTTGTATGCGCGGTCCCAGAGGCTTGTGGGAGGGTCTTGAGCAGGGGCGCAGACGATCTGATCGGGTTCCGGGCGGACGTAATTTGCACGGTCGACGTGCTGGACGTGCTCGACGGGCGGCGCGCAGTCGCTCTGAGTCTGGGGGCTGGAAAGATTTGAAGACTCGGCAGTCAATCGCTCCTCCCGCCACCGCCGGTACCGCTCGCGGAGACCCATGGCGCCGATCAGGGTCACTTCCAGGAAGATGAGCTTTGATGATTCGTATATCACCAGCAAAAGTGTTACTCGTAGTGAGCGCCTCGGGGCATCGGCTGGAGGGATTTCGAAAGAATCGATGCGGTGGGCGCCAAGCCCAACGGGAGCGGGGAGCCCAATGCCCAATCGAGTGACAGCCAACCATATCGAAGAACCCCTGAGCCTTTTCCGAGTCCGGCTCAGCCTCTCAGCCAAAATATGTACCGATAATTGGCCAGACCCAGGTTGTGCGAGGCATGAAACCGGCCTGCTAAAAGGTGCTGTCAATAGGTAGTTCCCTGGGTTGGTAGGCAACTTTGATGATGTAAGAAATAAAACATCTCCCCGGTTGCAATATCGACACAGGATCCATTGGAGAGATGTCTCAACTGCTAGACTGGACCTCATATATTAGTCGGATCCTCTATGAATCGGCTATATTGGACCCTTACTACCTTATGGAGAAAAGCGAAGGCTGCGGAGGTCGAGTCGACTGAGGCCTCGAGCGGGTGGTCGGCGGACCGTTGCCGAACTAGGCGCGCCACCTTCTCTCCCCTTACTGTGCCTGATCCCTAGAATGCGAGGTGCTGATTGTTTGCCTGGCAATTAAGCCACGATCTAGAACCTCGTCGAAGCAACCAACAGGACTGTTGGGAAGGGGATTCTAATCTTCTGCTCCGTGAGCGACCAGGGGTCGGGCGCGCGTGGAAGTGGAATGGCGCCGACGAGGTGGACTACATCCTGCGGGGGACAGACCTCGGCATCAAAATTTGCGACGAGCTATGCGGCAGGCGACAAAAAAGTCTCTGCGAGTCAGGTAGCTCGCTGGTGACGGCCCTCACGTCGGGCCTAGCGGCTCTCATCTGGATTGCGTGGTTTTGAACGTCGCCGACTAGTTCAAGTGCATGCGGGATCGCGCGCACTAGCATATGAGAATCACCTTCGACAGCATTAACATGCGGCGGTACAACAACCGGGATGACCGATAAGTGCCTCAGGGTGTGGGATACATTGGGACAGGCGCTGAGTGATACCAAGAAGGGACACAGAGCGAAACTGCGTTTGGTCGTGGACGGGTTGATGGCCAGAGTGAGGAAAGACGTCGCAGCTGAAACAAAGCCGCACGGAAACCAGACTTCCGAGTGAAATGTGCTCGGGCTCTGATCGAGGGAGAAGTCTCGGCCTGAATTTGAGAGAAGGGGAGGCACATAGCCGCGGCCCGCGCTGATGCAGGACTGCGCTGGTGTTAGGTCGGTTCCCACGCTCATCGCAAGCGCGCGACGTGGGCTGGCAATCCGCCTTCGGGCGATGTCGGCGCCGCAAGTGGTCGTGGACCTTGAGAGCAACGCGTGTATTCGTAGCCAATTCTGCAGCCTGCTCCTGGCTCGCGTGGCTCTGTTGCGGTAGTCGAGGCTTTCCCTCCACCATGAGCAGCAGGTAGGCTAAGTCAGGCCGTACGGGCGACGGGCGTGTTCAATTGAACGTTGATTAGCTCAGGTTGACAAGCGTTGGGGCCAGTCCTCGCAGCGCAAGCACGCTAGGTCACTGAGTCCACGTCGCAACGTTCTCGCTCCTTGTGCAGTAGCCCCGCCGTTGGCGTTAGGCATACCACGGAAAGGCTCGCTCCCGGCCAGTCGAGTTGGGGCTGCACACATAAACATGAGAGCGGCGATTAGCCAAGACGTGTAGAGGGGGGTCACAAACGTGTTAGGTTGGCTAAGGGGGGGTTCGCAACGCGTTGGTGAAACTTTGGTCACAACAAGGCAACATTAGATTCACACCACAGCAAAAGTTGGAAAACGGAATTCGAAAACAGAGAGGTGAAAACTGAGCGTAAACGCGTTCCTTACCGTTTCACTCATCAGAAAACGTCTCAGCACGCGACCTGGACTCTGCTGAGTTAGCAACTTGACCGAAAATGAAAGTGAAATGCTAGCTCCAGATTCACGTTCACGGCCTCCCTACAATAGCGACATCTTCCTGTCTTCGTTGTTATTCAAAGGGGGCGGTTTCTTGTCCTCAGAGCGACCAGTTTTGGACCCTTTTGAGCAGACAGGGAAGATTTACAGGCAAACCGGGGGGTGGTGTCACAGAACCGGCCAACAAAACGAACGGCGACGATGGGCAGCCTGCCAAGCGGCAAAGGTCAGGTGAGTGTCAGCAAGACTGTCCCGGTGGAAGAGATAGAGGGAGAACATGCTCCCGGAACAGCCGGGGACAGTGATGAAGGAGACGGCTTGTATACATCGAACGCTTTACACAATGGAGGTATGAACCGGGCCGCCTCTGATTTGGCACAGTGCTCTAATTGCGGATGAGAAATCCTCGGGACAGTAAGTATTGGACTTGTTTGTGGGTGTTGGCATGTTTCCGAACCGGTCCAGGAGTATTAAAGGCTTTACTGTACTTGAGTTTATTCCACCCATTCCGATAGTTACTCGAATTAAACACAGAGAGAATAGATTTCCAGACATGACTTTAGTGGTGTAAGAAGCTTCTACGAAAGTACGTGAAATGATTAGGTTTAGAAGTTGTAATTAGCAGCTTAATTATACAGAGTTTCCAGATGCGGCCTCTGCCCTCTTGCGCCCCATGCCTTTCTATTCATAATTTGAAACGGCGGTTTGAACAGTTCAAGCCGGCCCATAATTATGGCCCCCAACATCTCTTCTGGGGATTCCGTTCGAAGAAAAATGCTATTCGGGATGAATTCCGCAGGGGTTCGGCTACGTGCCGAACATGAGACGCAATGCCACCTTGCATAGCCTCCCACCGGCTTAACCCCGATTTCATCGGATGAAAGTCAATTTGGCGGTGTTAACTTTCGAAAGCCCTACCAACCCTGCGGAGTTATAATTAAGCTAATTTTCTGTGCGACACACCCGTTATATGTGTGTCATTCCTGCCCGTCCAATTACCTCCCCGGTACACAGTCGTGGACATAATTAGTCGTCCGGGAGGTAGACTGGTGGCCACCACTCATCAATCAACCCCATTCAGTGACATGGATGCTCAGTATGTTGGACCGTTATGCGGATAAGGTATCTAGGTAGGTAGGTAACGACATGCGAAGTACTTCTGTCGCAGGCACTTTACTTTGGCATTTGTCAGCTGAGGGCTGAAAAGACCAGGACGGCTTGCCTGCCGTGTCGCCCCTACCTGAAGTGAGCGGCCAGCAAATAATAGGTTGCTCCTGCCAACCCTGACATCCATCTCAGTGATTGACACTTTGAACTGGTCGCACGTTTCCTAGCCAATCAGATTTGGTCGGCTACTGGGTTGGGTAAAATGCCCCGAACAGGACATGCGAGGATGGTTACACAGTTTGACTTCGATTCTTTCCTTTTCATAGCATCCACAAATATTCGTGAGGAGGAACGTTAAGAGAAGCACGTTAGACTCAAACGCTTGCAATAGTAGGGTTATCTGCTACCATAGCCCACCGTGAGTCTTGGCCAGGGAGTGTTCGGATCGGTCGACGCAAACCTAATCTAGAGCTCGAGGTGGCAAGAGAGTTCCCCGTTTAGTTTGCCAGGACTGATCACTTGGAGGCCGGTTGCGCCGCTGCCGAGCCAATCTAGACCTCAGACGGAGCGCTTTGTTAACGACGCAGGCCACGCAATCTGGGGAAGCAAGGAACTTTTGTGAACCAGTTGAAGGAGTCAGGTACCTCGGCAACAGCTCTAAAGCTAAATACAAACCGAGAATAGAGTTGGGCAGTAATTACCCCGCTATAGGTGGTGTCCGAAATATGTCGGAGTCCAGTGGAAGGATTTGGACAGAGAAAGGGCGGAGCGAAAAAAAGAGAGCGGAGGCGCCGAATTCGACTCTCGCTTCGTTAAGCGAGGGGGCAAATGCTTTCAGATGTGGCATGGAGCGACGGTGATGAGGAATGGCCCAAAAGGCGCCAAAAGGCTGTGCAGGACGCTCAATTTCGGCTTGGGACCAACCCCGAGTTTATGATGTTTTGGGTAGGCGCTTCACTGTCTAGCATGATCTCGCGATTTGACGAACCATTCCGGAAACACTTTGTAGACAGGCATGGACGTAAGGGGATTAATAAGTATAGGGCTCGGTTGGGTTGTAATATTGCAGGTGCCAAGAAGGGCGTTCCGCGGGGGCTCCAGAAGAAAGTTGTCTGGTGAGAAGTAATTATCACCCACTCCTTGACCCTCACCAAGGCTTGTGCGGGGAATAATTAATAGGTTTAGCGGACAAGTTGGCTTGTGATGAGGAAGTCTCACCATCCCGAGACAATGAAGCAGGGTATGGGGGTGCCAACTGCCGTCGGTCTGCCGTCGGCGTCTCATCGAGATCTCAGACAAGTCGGCAGGGCGCAGGCTAGCCAAGAAGTGTTGGCGAAAGCACAATGGTTGATCAAGTGGGGTGCTGGCGAGTTGGCATGGGGGATGAGATCGACTACGATGAAGCTACAGAACAACCGTCCATGTTCTCGACTTTCCAGGCTCTCGATCTGTTGGGAGTTAGATGTGTTCTCAAGAATCCGAGTCAGAGCTGGAATACGCTTATCAAGATGTCGAGATCGCGTAGCGGACCGACGCGTACGACGATCGTGTCAAGAGAACAATGGGTGGACGCCCAGGCCAATCATCGCCAACGCTCGACCGTTGAAAGAGGTCTCAAGCCCAGTGGGCCATCAAACCCGTTAGCGCCCACATGAATCAAGGATGCTGGGGCAATTTGTCAGGCGGCGTGCAGCTTAGCTGCGACGTTCGATTTTGGCCCCCAAACCGGGAAGGTTCCGGGGGTAACCGCGGAGGAAACCGCTGTGGGGAGAAGGATCGGTGAATCAGATGTATTCGCAACGAGTCTTGGACGGCATCAAATGGCACCGGACACCGTTGAGGCACTGCCGACACTCCCGAAACATGGTTAACTCGGTGGCTCATTGGGCTGCTGCACTGCTGCTCAGCCTCGCCCATCATGGCTGGGCCTGAGTGATCGGTCGTTTTCACTGTGTCTAACGCGCGCGGCCCCCAACAAGTAGTTCACTCGCTCGCCCAGACCATCCACAAGCCAGGGGTTGGGCCTTGCCGGCCGGCCGCGGCCCCCAAACTGTTGTGGGCCGGCAACCGTCTTGTTTAAAAATGTTTTTAAGGTTAAAATCGGCCCCTCCCTGATTTATCACGCGGTCGTCGGCCCGCGAAGTTTCCATAAACCCCATCAGGTTACCCAAGGTCGATCAGACGGTCGACGACTTGAAACACTTTACACGATCTTTGTTGTCCTCGAATCCAGCACTGAACAAGGCAGCTCGCGCAGCAAATCGACATGTTCATAACGCTCCGGGCGTCAGGTTCAAGGGGAAGGGATGCGTCGGGTGGGATGGAACAAATTGTTCGTCAAAATGCGCGTCCTGGAGGACCCAAAGATCCCGGCCGTCCAGCTCGTCGCCCAGCTTGTATGGAGTGCCAGACGAAGAAGGTGAGTTATCCACGGGGCCGAACCTGAAGTCTTCTTTTCCCAAGGGTTCTACCCATATCTAACCCCAACCCTAACCCCCTCTCGCCGATCCACTTACACGGGTTATCTACCCAGGATCTCGACTTACAGAGCTCAAAACTCGCTCGCCCGTAATTATCATACCTTTATTTTTGAAATTGTCAGTCGCTAACATCAACAGCGCCGCTGCACCGGGAATCCCCGCAATTGTGACCGCTGCCGCGCTCGACTTATTGAATGTGTGCTCCCACCAACACACAACACCCGAGAAACTCAACATCTCAAGGCTGAGCCACGCCGGCTGAGCAATACAGGCCGACCATCCGTATCCAGGTATGGGTCCGTCCCTGTGGCTGGGAGCGTCTCCAGTCCTAGGTCGATTTCCGACTCTGCCCCGGGATCCGTCTCCGAGCTAAATCCCGGACTTGGGCTCGCATGGCCCTCGGAATTACCCGATGCTGTCCCTCAGCACCAGCATCAGCAACAGAGCGAGCTGCGTGATGGAGGTTATCTTGGCGGTGCCGCTGAAGATTTTAACGTTGCTCGTTATGAACAATTACAAACCGGCCATGAGCTTGCGATGGGCCCGTCGCCGATGATCTCAGGCGCGGCGAGTGGCACGCGGATAGAGACAGATGATGGGATGATCGATGCGGCGTATTATGATGGTGAGTAATTACCTGTCTCCAGTCCAATGTTGAATTACATACCATTCTCTCTTCCTACCTTACCTATCTTTTTTCCGACGGTCCGAAAAATACTCACAATCGTATAGCCAACACGATCGACAACTATAATCTCGAGGTGGACGAATTATACCACAACCACTCTTCGACCGAGTTTCACCCTGCCATGGCTTCTTACCAAGAAACCACGGCTAACACCCAACCAATGCCTACCATTCTTTTCTCCGACCTTACACCCCCCTACTCAGACCAGGCTTGGGGTTTTCCGTCCGCTGCGGCGCAACCCCCACCAACCGCACTCAACACGCCGACACGCTGTTCCTGTCTTGGTGAACTCCTCCAGCTTGCCCAGCAGCTCGAAGACGATGAGTTCCATGTCACGAGTTTACCGTTGGATGAGGTACTACACCTGAAAAAAGGGCTTATTTCACAATGCACCCAGTCAATAGATTGTACATCGTGTCTTGACCCGATGGCCGTACATACTGTGCGACTAATGGTATGTGAGCATTTGACGGAGATATTCGAAGGAGTCTACGGACGAATTCTGTCTGCGGGGGCTGTCTCAGCTGTCCACTACCTTCGACCTGGTACGCACCAACCAATACGGTCGTCGGTGTCGGTTCCGTCGCCAACGCCTACTCCATCACCACCATGTCTCTCACCACCCTCCCCTCCCTTGATGGTCCCTTATCGGCAAAACAGCCCCAGCCTCAAGGTTTATTCCTCAACCCAACACGCACCACCCACACCACCGCAAATGTATTACCCATCCTCAAACACAACCAACATCAACACCGGTGCCATCGCAGCACTCAACAACCCCAACACCTTCCTCCTCTCCGCATCCTTCCGCGAACGTTACTCCCCGGAGGAACAAATCCACGTAATCCGCGTGCTACTCCGGCTGCAAGCCCGCGATTTCCGTGCGTTGCTGGCTAGGCTGGTGGAAGTTTATTCGTGGATGGATGAAGATATGGTTGGCGGTGCGGAGAAGAATGGTCGCCGAGGGCAGGCCCCGGCGACGGGTACGGGAAGACAAGGGCGAGGTGCACGGTTGGTGGCGAGGGTGCGGGGGATGGGAGAACGGTTGAGGAGGGCTGAGGAGGGTGTTACGGGGGAGTGAGTGTCGTGGGTCGCTGTTTAAATAGGGGTGTGTAGTATAATGATGGTTGATGGGGGGTTACGTTGGTGAAGATGGGGAATGTTGTGTAATTAACTGAGCTGTGTGGCGTGTATAAGTAATAGATGGGAAGAATCTCAGGAAATAAAAGCATATGTAGATTATCAAGCATCAATCACAAAGCCAAAGAAGGAAGTTCCTGCTGGTTGTTGCGGTGGCAAAATTACTATCCATTATTCGGTTCATTCAAGTGAGGTATTCCCAAAGTCATTTGAATACCCAGCCAACTACGGAAACAAACACAAGATTTAGCTGATCAACGACCGCCCATGCCACTCTCTCCGGCCCAATTTATATCTAGCGCCGCTTTCGAGGCGCGGGCTGCTTCCGTTGTTGGGTCTTCCGAGTTGCGTGTGCTCGAGTACCGACAGACGATACCTTGGCCGGCTTGGTCGGTTTGGCCGGGGCCTGTGTTTCGCGCGCAAGTTTCACTTTCCCTCTAGCTGCTTGTTTTGGGACCTTTTTTAGTGCGGTCTTGTCTTCCACAACGTTGTCCAGCGCAGCCTTTTCCCAGCTTTCAGCAATCCGAGCACTGCGACGCGGTGGACCAGACGAAGTTGCGTTAGCCGGTGGCGGATCAGCACTGGCATCAGTAACTGTGGGATGTTTGCGTCGTGGCCGAGTCCCGGTTTATTGTGGCGGTGGTGTAGTCGCCTTGGGTGATGGAATGATGCCCGAGCCTTTTGGCTCCAGGCTTGCGCTCCTCGATCGTTTGGATGGCGGGTCTCCCTTCGCCGAGTCTGTGACGTCACGGGCCCGTTTGCGAGTCGCCGTTCCGTTCGACGGGACATCCGTTCCTGGTAGGCCGCCTTCGGACGCGAGGGTTGTACGAACCTCGGCCTCCACGAGGGGCACTTGGTCGCGAACCCACTGCAGGAGACGTCCCTGCTTCTCTTGCTCCTCTTCCAGCCTGCGTCGATTGTGAACTTGGGTGTTGTATGGGATGGTCAGTTCTTTTCGCTGCTGGAACACTTCCATCTCGCGTTTCGCCTCGTCTAACTTCTGCGTTGCCATCGCCATCGTTGTCGGATCCGTGTTAGCATCCGTTTGTGCCTCCTCGAAATCGAATTCAGCTAAGTCTAGCTCCCTCTGGATCCTGTCCACCTCCGCTTGATACGCCGGGGTGGACGACTTGGAACACAGGTACTCCCGCGTCTCATACGGTCGTAGTAGTCCTGAACTGGCGAGCTTCTCCCAGCACGCGTCAATCCGTTTCTGACAACGTTGGAGTTGGTACACGTAACGGTTGTGTTGCGCGCATTCAAATGCAAGGTACTCAATCCATTCCGTTAACTTGTCTTGTTGTGTGGGATCCTGGAGGAATTGAATGTCGGGCCGGCTGAAGTGGTGTTCCATCAATAGATTCACCGCCGCGTCCGAGTAAGTTGAAGCTTTGGAGAGAAACTGGGTCACGAAAACGTTGTAGGCCCTGTTGGCGTCCCAACCTTGGGGCGGGCCGTTCTGGATGTGGCTGAGGGCCTTGGTATCGGGTGTTCTCCTGCCAGTGGCGAAAGCTTTTCCAGTGCTGCCGTTGGGCTTCGAAGATCATAGACCTCATTCTTGGCAAAAGGGGCCATGGGCGAACAAGATGGGGGTAGGCGGCCGGATCTTCAGCTAGGTGGTTAACCAACTCGATTGGATACATTGGCCGCCCCCCATCAGCAAGGAGCTCCTCATAACATTCCCTCTCATATCTTTCCACCATGTCGTTTTCGGGAGTTGAACCTCGAGTCGAAGGCATCGACGAAACAAATTGAGCTGCATCATGGTCACCGACTGGCGTATCAGAACGGACGATGTTCAACAGGCGGCTGTTGACTTCATCGAGGTTAACGCCGCCGGCTCGGGCTGCCTCGGCGAGATCATGAGCCTTATCCCTGCATGATGTTAGAAAATATGCGTCTATCCTCTGAGCGGGTGGGATGAAAAGGCGACTCACCGAAGCTTTTGAATGAAGCTTTCAGGGAGATTTTCAGGGTCTTCCACATCAATACAAATGGCGACGCCACCATCAAGACGATCTTCATTAAGATAACTGCCGAGCGCTGTGTCGGACAACACGACGAGATCCGCGGCACGAATCTTACTAGGCAGAGCCTCAACAGATGGGACTAGTTGATGCGGGCTCATTGTTTACGGTCGCAGGCATCAATCCCTAAGGCTCGCAACATCGGTATCCTTCACAGGCTTCAAATTCTCGAAATACTTAGGAACCGATTGATCGTGGCCATGCGGTTGAGGCCATGTCACGAAATAAAGCGCAAAGGTGCCTCGCGTCGACGATGCGGTGATGTTAGAGTTGTCGGGGGCGTGAAAAACACGCTCAGAGCGTGGTGGTCTCATCCCTGTTCTGCGCCTGGGCACCTGGAAGCGCGGGATAAAACTGTACCTGGAAGGCGAATCAGTGGAAGCGAATACCCGCAGCGGGACAGCGCAGCCATACAGATCCAGGTCAACAAGTATATGACGTTCCGCATCGTTCCCGTTCACCACGACGTGAAGTCGCCAACGTACACGAGGAACGTCGAACGCTTCCTGCGCGGCGGGGCCACATCGGATACCCTCTTCGGCGATTTACAACTCCAAAGTGGACCCCAGACTGTCGCCGCATCGACTGCACAAACACCCTTCACCGGGCCGATTCTCCTCCCAATAGACCCCAAGACCTCCAATGGCTCATTCGGTCTCGTGACCCGCGTCTGGAACGCAAGCACATGGGAGGAGTACGCGTGCAAGGACCTGTGGGTTCCAAGTTCGAAGTGGCCGATTGGAAACGCGAAGTCGACACTCTGGAGCGGCTCCAGCATGTAAGTATATGCGACATCCTCTCAATGATATGTCTTTGCTTACTCCTCGGACAAATCAAACTAATCGTGCTCGACTAGGATCACATTATCCGAGTGCGCATGTCATTCATGTCACCGCGCCCAGAGATCTCCCTCGAGTTTATGCACGGAGGCAGCCTCTACGACCAGCACAAGGCTAGCCCCTTTACCTTCGAGGAGTGCTGCGAAATTCTCCGCCAGTGCTTGACGGCCTTGGTGTACCTCCATGGTCGGACCCCTCCAGTCGCCCACCGCGATCTCAAACCCGCCAATATCTTGGTCCAATCCCGCCGCCCACTGTACGTCAAGCTGGGCGATTTCGGCGCCGCAAAGGCTGGGGCTTTTGCAACGCGTCTCGGCACTTATGCATGGGCTGCCCCTGAGATGCAGCCGGATGCGCCGCAGCGACCGTATACCGAACGTGTGGACTTTTTTTCACTGGGTGCCACGGTTCTCGACCTTGGCTACGGGCGACCGCGCAACAAGTACGGAAAAGGATTGAGCTAGTGCAAGGAGGTCGACAAAAGGTCGAGATCTATACCCAAGGACGGTTTGCTTCTGATTCTGTGGGACATGATGATATTCGACGCCAACAATCGACTCTCGGCCAAGGACAGTTTGGACCGGGCCAATATCCTGTGCGAATGGGTGAAGAGGCAGCCCAACTCGATCAGGAGGGGCAGACCAGGGGTGCGAGGGCGAGATGAAGGGCAGCAGCGGTTGCCACCCCCGCCTATCGCTGGGGGTGCCGGGATGCACATAGCACCGCCGCGGGGCGCTGCGGCCCAGGCTGCCCCAGCGAACGCTCCTGTTGCGCGTGCAGCCGTGCAACCACCAGCCCAATTGCCGGGCCTTCAGTAAGTTCCCTCGGCCTCATTTTTGACTCGGTCGTGCCGACCATGTCGTAATGACACGGGGTCACTAACTGGCATCTTCAAGAAACCCGGCCCCTACAGCCGATCTCAGCCGGCCGGGCATCGCCATGGTGGCTATCCGGGGCCAAACCGTTACAATGCGCCGGGCGGATAACCGATTTGACGCCCGTGAGATACTTGTCGCCTCCGGTGTCCCAGACAGCGAGAAAGCTCGCCTTGCTGGCCTACTGAGAAAGGAGGGAGTTCGGTTTGGGGACGGCCCGGTGTGTGTGTCCCTTCGGCACGCCGAGCTCCTGACAAACGCGACCAAACTCAAAACCGAAATGGCCCCTTTACTCGCCGTGGCCCAAGGACTTAACCTTCCGGAGGACGGACCGATCAACCCAGACAGAGACCGTCCGCTCCCTTCTGTCGAAGGACCTCCCGCCCGGGCAGCTCCGTCCATCACCCTAGGGCCGCCGCTTGAGGGCATATTCCAAACCATCCTCTATCGCCGCAACGCGATCGCATATATCCCTTCGCAAAGATTCGTCAACCTACGACAGCTCGGTATCGCCTACGGCCTGCACCACGAATCCGCGTTGAGATGGATCAAACGGCACAAAGTCGAATGCCAACAAATCACCGCCGTCAGAACGGGTTTCCGGGGCACCTACGTTCACTATGCCGCTGCCCAGGCATACTGTGCTGCTCTGGGGGTTCGAAACTGCGAGATATTGGACCGGCTGATTGCTATGGCTGCTGCAAGTGAGCGCGAAGCATATCAACCTGCAGTGGCCCAACGTGACGCGGCCCAGCGTGAAGCTGCCCAACGTGAAGCGGCCAGACGTGAAGCGGACCGACGTGAAGCAAGTCAACGCGAAGCCGCCACGCCCAGAACAACTACAGCCACGGGTCCTACCTCGCACCATCTCCTTCCACGGGTTCACGCCTGGCGCAGCAGTCTGTACGAGCCGCCACGCCCGGTGCGAGCGAGAGCAATAGGCGTGGGGGGTATTACAAGTGTGTGGACACGGACTCGGATACGAAGAAGGGGATTTTTGGGTTTTTGTCATAGGAATGTAGAGGATGGACATAATGTACTTTTAGCTTTGGTTATGTTAAGCGTGTTTCGGGTTATCGTAGCCGGCAGTGAGTTCCAATCAAGATCGAGCTCAATAAGTAGGATATGAGTTTCCCCTCCCCCACGCCCTTCTCCCAAAAACAGAAAAAATAACTATCCGGTTTTCTCCAATTTCATGAAAGAACGAAACGGGAACAACAAATAAAGAACAAAACGGAAAAAGAACAAAAAAGTAAAAGAACAAAAAGAAAAAAAGAAGAGAGGAATTAAGAAAAAAAAGACAGTTACAGGTTTTCTTTCGTTTTTCCCCCACCCCAGAAATAGAAGTGAGGTCATTAGCGTTCCCCTTGCTCAAGAAATAGGGTTGAAATTAATTGATAACGTAACTAAACTTTCCTAGTTTGATAAACTCATTAATACTTAATTGGGCTCAGTAATTATCCCATTAGTTGATTACATACCTCTAGAGCTCCTTGTTTATACTCCCAGACTCATAAAATAGTCCCCCTTACCTAAAGTAATATGTAGGTGGGTCGGTGGGTTGTCAAAGAGTGTAAAATGCAACGAGACCACGCATCATGTAATTAGGCAATGTGGAACGTGATGTGTGGTTGTTTTGCCACAACAACCCTGCAGGACACGAGACACATGGTAGTTTATTTTGTTAGCCCAACACTCTCAAGCTGCTGAGCGTTAATTACAGTAATCAGACAGGGGCCAGCAACTTTTGATATCCTGAGATTTATTGTCCTGGTTGTACTCGAATGAGAAAAGTTGGGTTGATGAATTTGGAATACAGCTGTTGATCTCGTTCTCGCTCTATGTACTCTGCTTTTATTCATGCAAAACTTCAAAGCACACATGAAACTGGCGTACTCGAGCACTGGATTCGCAACTTCCATGTCACTGCTACCGAACGCGGCTCCTATCAGTCCGTCCATCAAAGGCACCCCGCAGGCCAGCCCACCGCCGTTGCGAAAAGACAACATGTCTTTGGAGAAATAATCCACCCTCTGTAGAAATGGAAGTATCATCTTAGCGAGTATGATACTTAGTTTTAGAGGTCGACAAAGAGGAACTGCCCCGCAACCCCGCCCGCGATAACCAAGAAGAGCGAGGTGTACTTGTTGGTGAACTTGTAGAGAACTGCCAGGGCAAGCACATAAATAACTGCCGCTGGGCCAACCTGAGCGGTTGCCGTAACGGCCTCACCAAGAGTCTTGTCCTTGACTCTGTCCAAACTGCCTTCGACACTGGCTTTAAGGATCTGCACTGCGATCATGGCGATAACACCAATGACCGAGCCACAGAGACCGTCGAAAAAGCTAGCGAGGAACTGTGGACCGAAGGGAAATTGTCAGCGATGTGCTCAGAGTCGGGGTACGGAGTTCGAGGGCGCAACTAACCTGATTCTGGACCAACTTCTCCAACAGCTCATGTCCAGCAATGGTAAACAGGAAACAAGGGAAAAACATCCCTAGAGTAATGATGACTGCACCTGCGAACGCGTTGCCCAGAGACGCATTTTCCAGATACGCGCCCTGGAAACCGACAAAAGTCGCGAAGATGACGAGCGGCGCCGGCAGGATATTACCGATGGCAATCCCGTCGATGAACACGCTCTGCGGGAGCCACGCGCCCAAGAGGACCGCCTCTACCTGCACGAATGGGATGGCGGTATACGCGCCGCCAAACGACAGCGCGCCGGACACCAGTCCCAGCACGAAGAGGTTGATCAGCGACGGCGTTCGGGCGACGCCAAGGGCGAGCGACACCGGCGATGGTACGCCGCGGAAGACGGCGTAGATTGCATAGCCGACGTATTGCAGGACGAAGAGCACAGCGGCGGGGATCCAGAGGCGGCGCGCGATGAACATGTAGATTATGCCGTACAAGCCGAGGGAGATGAAGCTAAGGGGTTGGTTGAGGTCAGTTAGAGCTTCTAAGAGCGTTGGGATGGGGGATTCGATTTGGAGGTGTGGTTTTGCGGTACTGACATATTTAGGCGAAGTGCGCAGTTGATGGCTGTACAAACGGCCGCGATAACGAGAAACGGGTCGATCTTCTTCGTGCCATGCTTCATCACAGAGTGTTCGGCGATCTTGTGAGTTGCTCTCAACATCTAATTAGAGATTCAAATGTCAGTTTTCGACGACCCAACAACGCGCCAATGCTTCATCAATCAAGAGATTATTCACTAAGTACATACCATTGCTGCGACGATAGGCTGCAGGCCCCGAAAGGAGGCATTGAAGTATATGTTGTCGAAACCAGCTAGCGTGTACACATAACTGGCCAGGAGCATTAACAGAAAACCTGGAAGGATGAATGCCATGCCCGCAATGATACCGCCTATCCTACCCGCAGACAAGCAGCCGAAAAACATGCACAACTCGGCGGCCTCCGGGCCCGGAAGGATCTGGTAAACAGAAAAAACGCGCTGGAAGCGAGGGAGGCTGATCCACTTGTCCTTGGTCACAAGTTTGTCTTTGATCAAGGCGATCTGCGCAACAGGGCCGCCCCAGGCGAAGAGACCAAAGTTGTAGAAGAAGAACCAGAACAGCTTCAGGTACGATAGCTGGGGGACGTTCGAGTTATCGTGCAGCCCTTGGTCGTCATCTTCGGATGGGGCATCAGTGGCGGCCTCCTTGGTCTCGGGCTGGACTGGGGAACTCTTTTGAGACTCCTCGTCCCGTTTCTCACCGTGCGACACGGCCATGGTCGGTTCTGGTGTTGTCGGTTGAGTGGTCATTGGGGCAGAAAGCCTGCAGTGGAGGAGTTGGCGGCTGTTTGGCGGTCTGTCGCGCTCCTTTGTCTTTGAGATAGAGCCAATGGTCCATCACTGCTGCCAGTGTCTCGCATACACTGGTTTTATACAAGTCGATTTCAACTTTCCATCAGCCCTCCTCAGGGATGCAGAAGAGACGATGGACGGACTACAGAGTCCTGATTGGTCAATTGACAGCGACGCAGCTCCTGGTGTAAGTGGCGCGGCCTAATTTACTGTTGGCGCACTCAAAAGAGGACCAGAGGACGGACAGCTCAACAATGATTGGTTGTCAAAATCCAAAGCTGTGGTTCCCCGAGACCAACCGCCAATGAAACCTCGCCTGTCCGTCCCTGAGGACCTTGTTCGTCAGGCTTGTGATGACGAGGTAGGGATGTAGCCCCCACGTTGGCGAAGTCATCCCTCACCGATTTCCGAGAGGAAAGCTCGGTGCAGGCCACTTATCGCCGAATATCAGATGCCTTCGGATGCACTGACTGACTTGGAGAGTTGAGCGAGTGGACCACAAGCACGTGTAATGCTAAAACGGACTAGTCGCGGAATGCGCCGAGAAAAGGAAGTTGACGTTATAGCACTGGATGAATGGGGTGGCGCCGTCTTCGGTCGAAGTTCGAACGGCAAATTTGTTGCTCGAAGATACTAATTCACACGCCCATCCTGTACCGCCAAGCACCGGTACCTATCCAGACGACAGGAGGAAGTTCATCCACACATACCATCGAGAGCTTCCCAAATAACTTTCTTTTTCACGGCACAAGCACCCTTCCCCGTCGAGCTGCAGCCGGTTTCCAATGCTCGAGCAACGTAATCCATTTTCTCTTCGGATGTTGCATACCGCATGAGCATCTCATACGCCTTTCCGCACTCAACGTCTCCTTCACCATGTACGGTACCCTGAGGGGGGTCAACTGAGCTTGGAAGGGCCGAGACCTGCGTGATATCCGCAGTCGGATTCTCGGCGAGAAGTGAGAGAAGTTTGCATGGCTTGACCTCTCCGCCGAGAGAGGCGCAACCCTCTGGCTGTGACTGCGCAGCAGCAGGAGGCTCACCCGTTGCGGGTGCCGGGCAGGTGGCCATTTCTGCATCCGAGCCTGAACTTGTAAAGGGCCTAGGCGTAACGGCCGGCTCGCTGGTGCTGGATGGGGTGTCTGCACTCTCTGGTGTATTCTCGACCACTCGCATCTCCCTCTTTCTGCCGTTTTTGCGCGACGGGCCCGGCTTCTCCCCTTCCATAGTCGACCTCTTGTGGCCGGCTACAAGCGTCGCACAGAGCCGGGCCTTCTGCTCCACTTCTCGCCTTCGAGTACAACCTGTCTCTTCAGGCATTCCCCCGTGCTCGCGCTTCGCCCACACATCAATGTCTTCATCGGCGAAGCCGGCTAGCCGCAGGAGTTCCCAAAGTCGGCCGTTCTCTGAGACAACTTTTCTAGCGGCCAATTGTACCTCTGTCGTCGCGTTTATCCCCTGGACTCGCGCTTCTGCGAGCCTTCGTTCTAGATCTGCCACATACTCTTTCTGGCGCGCTCGGTAGCGACGCTTGTTCTCAGTCAATCGGGATGTTCGCGTGGCATCGGACATTTGGCTTTGTCGCTGCAATTAGACATCGCGTTAGCTGTACTCACGTAATTCCGGGTTTGCTGTGAAAACCCCCTGGGTCCCAGCGTTGTCGGAAGTAGAAACTCTGGGACTTACCATTCTCTTAGGTTTACGGTGAAACTCGCCTCCATCGTGGTCGGGGGTTGTCCTGTCAGCAGGTGGCGAGGGCGCCATAATTAGGCCAGCTCGTTGCCGAGAAGTGACGGCGCGAAGGAGATCATCTTTAAACGGGCTCATGATTCGCTCCACTTTTAGTGTTAGCGCAGAGGCCCGAGATGAGCTCTGTTTGCGCGGCATCACGTGACGAGCAGCGTAATGAGTCGGGGAATTGTATTTCAAAAGTTCAAATAATCTTCTCTTCATCATAGCTCACCATTAGCTTTCCTGCCATGGCATTTGGTCAACCTTCTGACGAAGACCGCTGTATTGATGACCGGACCTCTCTGCTCCATAGTACGGCCGAACCTGAACCTCCAGACCGAGTGCCTGTTCGCATTTCTCGCCGACTCTATGTGTCGCACTTCTTGTCAACATGGAACTCTCGCGTCTTCGAGTTCGGTGCGGTGCTATACCTAGCAACGGTCTTCCCTAAGACGCTGCTCCCAATGTCTATCTACGCACTGACACGCGCACTTTCCGCCATCGTCTTTGCCCCTGCTGTTGGACAGTATGTCGATTCGGGCGACCGTCTTCAGGTCGTCCGGGCCTCCATTGGCGAGTCCTCGGGACTCTCTTCATATGTTCTCCTTAACACTCTCCAGTCTTCCAGCGCCTTGTTGTAGCGATATCATGCGTGATATTCTACATCCTCGCCCTTGGGCTGCCGCTCAGACGCGGCACAGAAACCGGCATGCTCGTGCTCCTGTCCTTCCTGGCCTGCATCGAGAAGCTCTGCTCCATCATGAATCTAATATCTGTTGAGAGGGACTGGGTATGTTGATCCCGAACAGTCGCCAAAGAATCGTAACTTATAGGATTGGTAGGTCGTCGTCGTAGCGAATAAGAAACATACGGCACTACTGATCCTGAACGCACAAATGCAGCGCATCGACTTGCTCTGCAAACTCTCCGGGCCCCTTTTCATTGCCTTGATGGCCGGCTTCTCGACTAAAGTGGCTATCATGGCTAATTTGGCTATGAATGTCACCTCCAGTATCTTCGAGTACTCCGCCATAGCTCGGGTTTACTACGAGGTTCCAGAACTTCAGGAAGCCAAACAAAGACCACAGCCAGATCTTACGGGTGCCGTGTCAGCTCAACAATCAGAAAGTCGATCTGCACGAAATTGGAGACGCGTCCGTGGCGCGTTTACCAAGTCTGCTAGGGATTTCAACTTCTACTTCCGCCACCGCGCGTTTCTCCCATCCCTCGCTGGGGCCCTGCTCTAATACCTCACGGTGCTGAGTTTTGCAGGGCAGATGGTGACGTACCTGCTCTCGGCCGGTTATACCGCTACCCAAGTCGGTATTGTGAGTACGCTCAGTGTAACCTTTGAAGTGCTGGCGACATGGGTAGCACCCTGGCTCATAGGAAAAATCGGACCGGCGAGGGCAGGCCTCTGGCTAAGCAGCTGGCAAGTCACTACGCTAGTTGCAGGGTCCGTCGTATTCTGGATCTTCGATCAAAGTCCCGTCGTCTCAGCCGGTGGTCTCGTAGGTGGGACCATACTCAGCCGTCTAGGACTATGAGGTTTTGAGCTTTGTGTACAGATCATCGTCCAAGAGGTGAGAACCAGGTCAACTTCTGAGGCGGAGTAATTTTCACGACTAACTGTCTGCTTCGGATGTTGAGGCTGAGAGCCGTGGTGCATTTTCCTCAGTTGAGGCGGCCTGGCAGAAAGCCTTCGAGCTTCTATCCTTCGCGTCGACTATTAGCTTCTCCCAGCCCGAACAGTTCAAGTGGCCCTCACTTATATCGGTTGTGGCTGTGGCTTCGGCATGGGCCTCGTACACTCTCTTTGTCTATCTTCGCAGAGGACACTTGCTTCATCTAGATGGACTGATGAGCGTGTTAGGTAGCGGCAAGGGAAAACAGAGGGAAAGAGAGAGGTTTATCCGTCGAATCATATCGGAAACTGACACATAGTGGAGTTCGGAGAGAAGCCTTGGATTTCCGCAGATAAAATCTCGATCTGGAGCCTTTTGGCCGGAAGGCATCACCGAGGATCTCGTGGACGTTACGCTTGGCTAGCCCCCTGTTTCCGCTTCGAGTCTAACAAATTAGTATCCCCTGGCTAGGTAGGTCAGATAGGTAGTCAAATAGTATGGGATGCAACGAGACCACGAGCAACCTGTGGAATGTTCAACGTGATGTCTGTTGTGTCGCTAACTGCGAGGGGCGCGGTACATGTTCGTTTAGTCCATTAATTAGCTCGTCAACTACCAAGACTTATAGTTCCTCGGGAATTATTGACCCATCTGTCTTTCAAGGAACGGGATCTTGTTCATGTAATTATTTGGGAAACCGCCGCTGATCCCGTTGTCGCCCTACGATTAGTCCTCACAACTTCAGGGCGAAGCAACCCCAGCATCTCCCCTCACGCAAGTGGCAATTTTATTTCGCTAAAAAAAGCCCTAACTTGGTGTACTCCACTCGAGCTAACAAAAATATCCGGATCCGGGCCGCTCACGGTACTTCAGCCGAAGGAAATACCCTTCCAGCTCTTACTTGAGCTGCACGTTTGAGGGAACCCCTCTTTAGTCGGATGGATGGCCAGGCTCAGAGCGGGAGCCAGGCCAGAGCGAAGGTCCTATTCCCTCCCAAAGTCCTAGGCTGCCAAGGACCAGCGACCCAAGGAACGAGGGATGCGGGAGAGTACCTAGATTACCAAGGCACCCTGGGGGCCATACCAATGAGATATCCGACATCACAAAACTGCTGCAGCCTATACGGCTGGGCAGTGCCGGATTTGGAATGACGTAGGACAAACACACTCATTCAAATTGCGCGGTACTGTGGCGCTTTGCCGCGACCTGGAAAGTTGACGCTTCAACTTTGGAAGTTCAAGCTCGACGCGATTACTCCAGCCAATTTGACGGCTGCCACCCAGCATGACAATTCTGCCTTTTCCACTATGGTGCATTCTCCTCTTATCAGGCTGCATCGTGTTTTACCGACTAGGCCGACGACAGTTGAATTCGAGGAACGCCCTTAAATTGCCCCCGGGCCCCAAACCACTTCCCCTCTTTGGAAACATTCGAGACTTTCCACCAGATGGCACGGTGGAATACCAGCATTGGTTGACGCACAAAGACCAGTATGGCGACATCTCATCCGTAACGGTCATAGGCACGACGCTCGTGTTGATTCATAACAAGAAGATGGCGCATGAATTGCTGGAGACAATGGCGAGCAAGACCTCGGGTCGGCCAACCATGGTTATGGCCAACAAACTCTGTGGTTACGAATCTATTGTCGTCTGTCAGGGTTACACCCCCAAGTTTCGCCGCTATCGCAAATACTTGCATCAGGAGCTTGGTACAGCCGTGTCTGCGGCCCGGTTCCGCGACGCGCAGGAGATTGAAGTAGGGCGTCAGCTCGTGCGGACGCTGAACGAGCCTGCAAGATGGCTGGGCCATTGTAAAACGTATGATTCTCCCCTTTCCATTTCAAGTCTTGTAGGGCTCTTGAGGACTGACAACGATAGGGACCTACTTCCAGTGCCGCCGCAGCAACCGTCTTAAAGATGGCCTATGGATACACAATCGAGCCGCACCAACCCGACAAGTTGGTCAACTCGATCGAGAAGATGATGACAGAGTTCTCCCGAGCCGCCATCCCCATGGGATGGGCCGTCGACATCATTCCGGCACTCCAGTATCTCCCCGAAAGCTTTCCTGGAGCGGGATTCAAGAAGACAGCTTCGGAATGGCGCAAGTCCATCATGGCATCGGCATACACGCCCTACCGCTTTGTTCAACGCCAAATGGCCGCCTTAACACACCAACCTTCGTACGTGTCCAAGCTAATCGAACAGCTCAAGGAAGAAGGCAACGGCAACAAACCCCGCACCGAGGATGAAGAAGCTATAATCTGGACCGCGGCGACTCTCTACGGCGCTGCGGCGGATACCACGACCATTTCTCTGACCGCCTTCACCCTGGCCATGATCAAATTCGACCATGTCCAGCGTAAAGCTCAAGAGGAACTCGACCGTGTCGTGGGGACCGATCGTCTGCCCACTTTTGAGGACCGTCCAAACCTGCCCTACATCAACGCCTTGGTGAAAGAAGTCACCAGATGGTGGCCAATTACCCCCATGGGCTTCTCCCACACGGCAACGGAGGACATTCAATTCGCCGGGTTCCACATCCCCAAGGGCGCCTACCTACTACCGGCGGTCTGGTGGTTCTTGAACGACCCAGAGGTATACCCCAATCCGGAATGTTTTGACCCTGATCGTTTCCTCCCGCCTCGCAGCGAGCTCGATCCGGAGAGTGATGTCTTTGGTTACGGTCGTAGGCGATGCCCTGGCCGTTTCTTTGCGGATTCGGGGCTGTACATCAACATCGCTCAGTCGCTGGCTGTGTTTAAGTTCATGAAGGCGGTCGGAAGGGATGGGAGGGAAATTGACGTGGATGTGAAGCCGAAACCGGGCATCTTGGCATATTTAGGGGAGTTCGGATTTCGGATCGAGCCGCGATCCGAGGAGCATACGGAGTTGATTAAGCAGTTTCAGCAGCGCCATCCGTTTGAGGAGGGCGATGCTGAGCTTCTTGAGGGTATGGAAGCGGTGAAGGTGTAAGGAGTGCACTGCTAATTAACTCAACACGCGTGGCAAGGTGAAGTGCGAATCTCGAGCTCGAGTTCAAGTCCAACTCGAACGAGCATGGGATAACGCGATGTTTGGTTGTATTGTTTTCAATTTACTCAACGGCCAGTGTTGCGAGGGGAGCAAAATAGTCATTATTCTATTTATCACTCCTTAAAGCACCAGATTTGTAGCGGCGAGAGTGGACTCGAGCATCTTACCCACATAAAACATGCTCCGAAACTCTAAATCAGGTGGTTCGATCGTAACCTAGAGTCGAGGGCTTATATGGTGAATTCGGTGACACACATGTCTGGAGCCCAAGATGAAGCTCCCAACGCGTAATCCCGTGACACTACCTAATTCACTCGGAAACTAGGCGGATTTGTCAGATGTACTCCGCTATTGACATTGAAGTGCGCGGCCGTGTGACTCGACTACCCGATCGGGCAACTAAACGTTTGAACCCTGTCAGAGATTCCACCATGGTAAGCTCAACGATCCATCGGCTTCGAGATACCCCGTGCTGGGGCGGATGGTTTGTTGAACGGAATATGCCGTCGAAAAAATTGCAGTAGCATTTGAGCTATCCGGCCGGATCGTGACTTAAAGACCATGAAAAATTTAATGAAACAACCCGATTTGTCAATATGCGGAACTATCCTGAGACGTTCGAACTACGGATTGTGCCGATATATTCCGACGGGGAGCGGAGCTTTGGATGGACCGATGCGACGTTGATAGATGTACTTAAAGTGCCTTCCGCTCACCAAGTAAAGTAGAATAAAAACCATTCTGCTTCACACAACAATCATTACTTCTGCCTCCTCAAATTAATCCACATCTCACACGCCTCACTTTCTCACAATGGCCCCTCTCGTCTGGCTCATTACAGGCTGCTCATCCGGCTTCGGCGAGCAATTCGTGCACTCTGCTCTCGCCCGCGGAGACAAAGTCATCGCAACCGGACGTAATGCCGCGACCAAGTTAAAACACTTCGAAGGAACTGGCGCGGCTATCGTGAACCTCGACGTTGCCCAGCCCGAGGCCGAAGTCAGGAAGATTATCGACGAAGCGGCCAAGATCTACGGCCGTATTGACGTGCTGGTGAACAATGCCGGATACAGCCTATTTGGGGCTGTCGAGGAAAGCAGGTCAATACCTCCCGCCCCATTTAACCGGAAAAGCCTTCTCTATCAGTCTGGAAGGCTCTAGGCTGCTGAGGCTGGCTGATGATTGAGTGCTAACGCCTCATCGACTAGCAACGCGGATTACCAGGGCCTGTTCGCCGTTAATGTCCTTGGTGCCCTTTCCGTCACGCGTGCGGTGCTGCCGTACATGCGTGCTCAGAAATCCGGCACCGTCGTCTTTGTTGGGTCGATGTACGCCTGGTGGACACCCACGATGGTGTCGATATATGGCGCGGCCAAGGCGGCCCTCAAAGGTGAGTAATTCAGGGGTAGCGTCCCACAGCAACTTCATCCCTTTTGGAAACCAGGGAATCAAGAACCTTCGCTTGCTAACCCTGTCCTTAAAAAGCCATTGCCGACGGCCTCGCCACGGAGCTAGCCCCCTTCAACATCCGCACAATCGACTTCGAGCCCGGCTTCTTCCAAACCGCCATCACGGACCTGGCCCATCTCCAGCAATACGCACCCAACGCCCCGCTTCTCGACGCCTACGCAGGCCACCGTGCAGCCATGCTTGAGACAGCGAAATCCCTTACTGGCAACGAGCGTGGGGACGTGAAGAAGGGCGTCGAGTTGATGGTGGATATTATTCGTGGGGAGGGGTGTGCTGCGGGAGGACGGAAAGTACCTGCCAGGCTGCCGATTGGGGGGGACGCGGTGAAGGTGGTGGAGGATACGTGTCGTAATATGTTGAAGGTTATTGAGGCGTGGAGAGAGGATGTGGCAGGGACGACGGATCGGGAGGAGTTTAAGGGTGAGACGGGGTTTGAGGTTGTGGTTACGGTGCCGGATGTTCAGTGGTAGTACCGACCGGTTTAATTGCCCCTCACTCTAATACTGGGCACGGGGTCTGAGGCTCTGGGAAAAGATGGGTTCTGGTTGGTCTCAGTCTAATACATGAATTATGCTACAGAATGTGGTTCTCCTTTTCGACACACTTACGTTGCCTTCTCTTTGATACCGGTGAAGATCTTGCTGAGCTTCTTGTGCAGTCCGTTTTGGCCTCTCACGTATCGAGCCCTACTTGACACGCGATTTCTCATCCTTCCCAAACGAGACTTTAGGCAGCACGGGAGCTGCGAACTTGAACGAGATAGCGTAAGTAACCTCATGGCTATTATTCAGCGCGTCAACACCTGCACCGAACCAGACCGTCCTCCACAACTGTCTCGTATAGGACCGTAACATATTGAGCTGGGGTCCAAACTCATGGCAGAGAAGTGCGTTGGGCCAAGTGTCGAGTACTCCGCCGTGAATAGTTGAAAGCTGGTCCCAAAGGTGCTTGACCAGAGCAGTTGTCTCCCAGGTAGGAGGGGTCCACCCCTTGGAGTCGTATATTCTGCAAATGCGCTCCCATTCCGCTTCTCTACCTTTGGGCATCACATAGTGCGTCTGGTCAAAGGCCGACGGCAGAGAAGGGCGGAACTTGAAGAGAGTGACCCCGGAATGAGTATGCGAAGAAGACCCGGAGCCAGATGTGGAGGATAGGCAGTTCCAAGAGCGCTCTAGTTTGGCCTTGGGGGCACCAGTAGGGATTTGATGGAGGACCTCAGCTTTAAAATCGGCCCAAAGAAAGCATCTTAGAGGGCTAAATCCTGTCCAAATAACCTCTAAGGCTCCTTGGTTAGGTGCCGCCTGATTACGACCTGCTTTGTCCTTACCTCCGATATTTTTTATACTTCCGGATAAGAGCCGCCATACTTAGTCTAAGAGTCCCATACAGACCGGAAACCGGTGGGGCAGGTCTCTGTGAGCGGGGTCCTCTGATCTACTCTCCAAAGAAGAGTTTCACGTTGGCGATATCATCTCGACATCAAAATACCCGTGGCTATTACATGCAGCCTGGGTTCATGACCTTGGTTTTTGTTCTCTCAAAGTCATGCAGAACATGTGTGCACAACACGATGCCACAGCCGGGATCAGATGAGGATTTCTGACCAGGTTGTGTTGCCTAGGGCGAGGGGAGGGGTTGCTGCCGCCCTTGAGTGACCTTGGTTCCACTAGTTGCGGTGGACAGGTTTGGGATGATGGCCCCCCATGACGATTCGGCCATGGAGTGCTACCGCAATGGCCCAGAGGACGTCCTTTATATGACTTTATATGATTGTTGTTGTTTTTGTTTGCCTTTAACATCCAGGGGGGTACCCGCGGAGCGGGTACCTCAGATGCAAGCGGCATATAAAGACACGCTGAGCTAGGTTTAATATACAACGTGTATTTCCCATATTACAGCGTCTCGAGCGCAGAGCGCCTGTCGACAGCGCTATACTGCCTCCATCGCCATTACCCCTGCCTCCCTTGTCGGGCTTATAGGAGGAGATTCACGTCGAGGACTCATAAAATATACCCAAGCGGATGCTTGGCCGCTTATAGCCTAGCTTGGCGCGTCGAGGGCGGTATACTGCCTGATCTAGCAGGGACGTCGTTCTGGTGGGTTCGGCCTAAGCCAGGTAGTTGATGAGGAAATACGATATGGGTCCGACAGCATAGTCGAACTTTCACTTCTAAAAGTCACGTTTCACGTACCATCAAGATGGATATCACACACGACCTGCAGCTCTCGGATGAGAAGCTCAACATGCCGACCGCCATTGCTGCATTCTTCTTCGCAAACCAGATTGCCGATTCTCCACGCAGTCCCATGGCGTCGAGCTCCGTGGAGTTTTGCCTGATCGTCAGAGATACGGCCTTGTCCGACAGTGCGGCCTGTGGAGCGACTGGAGAAAGTTAACACAGCACCCGATATGCAAGCTCCAATTCTTATCCATTGCCAGGACCATCTCTTCGGAGCAACTCCTCGAGAAACTCGCCTCTCCGGCGAACCACTTTGATAGCATTTCGGGATTTTGCGCCGTGTCTGACTGCTTCATCTCCTCTAGGCCAGCCGTCAACGCCATAAAGACTGTTTGTGCTGTCGGACCCATCTATTTGTAGCTGCATGCGTGCCTCTCAAGGTATTTTGAGGCTAGTCGCGGCTTACCCAGACGCTGGGAAGCGGCTAACCAGCTCCCAGATACCCCTCCTAACGAGGCCCACCGCGACCGTGACCGCAACAGCGACAGCGCCTCTGACGAAGCCGAGAGCTCAATTACGCCGTTCTCGAACCACACCCCCCTGCCACCCCAGCGGCCACCCGCTCTTCACAACTAAGTATAACTCCTTCGAAAAGCCCTACATGTGTATTCCGAGCTGTAAGAGTTCGTCGCCTCCCCACACTTTCTCGTTTTGCTTCATTCAAGCGATGCGGAACATGTGTGGGTACACGATGCCACAACCGGAGGAGTGGGGCTCTTGAGCGGGGCCGAAGAACTTGCCGCTTTGGGAAATTTTACTCGGTCAGCCACCTTCGGCCGGGACCCACTTCTCCGGCACCCGACCGACCGACCATAATAGGTAGGTAGGTACCAAACAATTCATGAGGGCAGGCTAGGGCACAGATGTGCAGTGCGCGGACAGGCTTTATTTTTATTTTCTTTAATACCACGAGAACAAAGAAAACTTACGCGAATCACAGAAACCATATGAAAAAATATACTGCTCCTCCGTTATTGTTACCCCAGGGGTCACGCACTCGACTATTCGCTAGCCTTTCTCCAGAGCTAGTAGTATAGAGCTTAGCAGTATTCCCTCTCCAAAACTTTCACTTCATCACGCACTTCTTGATCCAACAACGTGATTTTAGGTATAATCACTACACTACACCTATTTCCACCCTCATGGCCACCCCCCGGGACGTTAAACGCAAACAACAAGAACAACAACAACAACATCCACACCGTCATACCAACGCAGAAAACAACCTCACAAAATGTGCGGTTGGCAATACCACGTCTTTGCCTGTGGCTGCCGGTGCCCCAATGGGGCTCCTCGCGTCGAGTTATGCATGGGGTATAGGGATAGACGGGTGTGCTCGTGGGAATGGTCGATACCTGTGCCAACGGAGCAGTTTTGTGCGGCGCATTCGCAGAAGTGAGGGAGTTAAGGGAAGCCCCCAGTAAACGGTATGGGCAAACAAAAGGGGATCGAAGGGATGGGTCTTGAGGAAGGTTGCAAGTTTGGCGGGGCTTGGGGGAGTTCAAAATCTATCGACACTTGGTGGATGGATGGTGGGTAATTCAACAAGAACACACCTATGCATTGCGTTGGCGTTTGGGTTTTGGAGGAGTTGGAAGACATCCCCGGGAAGAAACTAGAACAAGATAAAATAAAATGGCACGACTTTCCTCCCCCAACGCAGAAGAATTCTCACTTCCAGGGTCTCTCGATGGTGCCCACAACCCGTGAAGCTAAACTCATGGCCTTGAGAAATCCACCTAAACAGAAATCAAGACCCTATTATTTAGCAAGCGCTCAGGGTGCCTGTACAAAACCCAACGGCTCTGATGTGGGTTAAAATCTTGACTCAGCGGAGATGGCCATGAACAAACTTGATTGAACCAGCACCAATGCTTTCGACGCCTCCGCTCCTTTCAGAGAAAGGATTGTTAAGCGCTTTCCCGGAAGCGTAGAACGCGTCACGACCAAAGACTCAACCCCCAAATTTGATCTGATGACATTATTGGGCGCGTAATTCGAGCATCCGGCGTTCAGTGTGGCCATTGCCATTTGACACTGTGGCCGCGGGTCGGGAAACAGCCCTCTGGGTTGATTCTGGGTCTCCACGCAATCATGCTACCTACTCGACTCCCGCTGATTACATGGCTGATGAGCAAAGGAAATTTGAAAGCTGATCCGTAACATGGCAATGCTGAAGCTGGTCTGGTCCGGTGACACTTATCCTGGTGTTTAGATGGGTTTGTTGGTTGGTTTGTGGCCATGATCAAGGCCAAGTACCAGCGCCTAGACTGCGGGTAGTCGCGCAACGTTGGGCACGTGGCGTGAGGGCGAATAGGCGCTCCCAAGGTTGAATACGCACACCAGTCAAATTTCTTTTGTTGTTTTATGCGTTCGAAAAGCGGAGGAATTTGGTCCTTAAATACCCGCATAACTTGCAGAACTGCCAGTTGAACTTCAGATCCAACTTCTCCAAACAAACAGCCACCAACTCCACCAACTCCCACAACACCGGCTACTTTAACAATTCACCATGCCTGGCACCAAAAAACACAGGCCAAAAGGCGAAAAGCCAACAAAGAAGCACAAAAGCCCACTGCCTCGGCTCCACAGCCCGATGAGAAACGCCCACCGTCGAAGACCAAAGGCGAACCCGGTCCCGACACCATCAGCGGCCGTTTCCATGATGACGAGAAAGAAAAAGACCCCGCGCAGATTGAGGTTAGGAAACACCTGCATGGCGGGACGGCCAACACCATCGTCAACCACATCGACCCGCAGGATCCCTACCATCACCCTTTGGACCCCCTGGGTTTAACCAGGTCTGAACATGACGAAGCTCTCAGGCTCCCCTATCTGCCGGTAGGGAATCTCGATTTTGGGTCTCCTAATGGCCAGGATGGTGGGCGCGAGGAGAAGAAATGAGGTGGTGTTGCCTGGGGAAAAGGGGGGGGGGGGAGGATAGGTGTGTTGTTAGTTGTGTCGTTGATCATTCCGAATCCTAGAGACCGTATCAAATTGTTTTCCTCGGACAACGGTTTTCGTTATAGTGCCCGTGCTCACTTTTCTCAACTGATACTCAGATCGTCCGTGGGCAGGCTTCGCCATGATGTTCAACGAACCCTTGTGAGTTGGCTTCACGGCCCCGGCCTCAACCACCTACAAGGCCAAGAGGGTTCACTCTTCCCCATTAGTAGCAGCCCACAGCGCAAACCCAGCTCATCGACCCTGGTCCCTTCCGGCTAAGGTAATCATTGATGAGAGCCTGCTTCGCCATAGCGTGTATACTCCCCCTCGCTCATCCCCTCAGAGTCCTCACAATTGACCAGAGGATGTGTCTTCGGAAAACGCCGCTGGAGAATCAGGGACCTTGCCATTGTTGGAGAACACCACATCTTAATTCGTTGTCAGATGCATCGTTTTTATGCCGTAGACATGGCTCAAGTACTTTTAACTCCAGGGGTGGTTAAGGAGCATCCATAAGTAGGGTTTATAAGGAGTCGAGCAGGTCAAGTGTTACCTGGTAACCATGACAGGGTAATTGTATGGTCTGGCGATACTAGCCTCAGCCGTGAAGCACCTCGCGGGACAGGAGACCATTTTTAAAACAACTGCGGGCCCGAGGCGGCAGGGTCTTTGAGTTTCGAGCAGCACCACAGAGTGTTGGCGCGAGCGGCTTGTTGTGCCGATGGTTTTTGGTTGGCACTTAATTACACTAAGACGGCCAACACGTCCCAGAACGGCATAATTATGGCATTGTCCGTCAGACGCCTGGCTTTCGTGCAGGCCGTTCTTTCAAGAGATTCTGCATTGTTGCCGTGGTATTTGAGCGCTTTTTTAAAGCACCCAATGCCCCAGGTTGGTCCCCATGACGATAAACCGGAATCCAAATTTCATCACCACCGCCCTTAAACACATATTATCATGGCCAGCCACAAGAATCCGCAAAACAATGCACCGCTTGCCACAACAAACATGTCAGCACATGTACCGCAACCGAAACATCAGGAAAATTCTGTTAAGGGGTTTCTAAGCAATTTGTTCCGTTCCCGTCAAAGGGATACCACTCCTTCAGGTAAGATCAGGAGGATCACACCAGCTTGGATTGAAACATTCATCATATTAGCAGTCATCATCCGCTAACAACATGACGAATCAGCGCCAACCTCCGAACCGCCCCAATCGCCGAAGTATAAACTGTGTAGACGGGGCAAGCTACACCACAAGCCGTCCGATGACTGCCCCGACCCAAGCCTCCGACAGCCAACCCCACCAACCAGCCCTCAACCTCCTCCCGAGAAATCGGTCGACCCGGCTGAGAAGCTCCGGGTAGCCCGCAATGCTCGAGTAGGAGTTTGGAGAAGCGAAAAGCCCGTTGACCCTGAAACCGCTAGTAGATGGCGCGACTATCTGGCAAATGACGAGGCCGTAAAGCTAGCCTTGGCCTCTAACCTTTTGTCAAGCTCCGATCTGGGATGGGTACGAAACTGCGTCCATCGTGATTTGGCAATCATGATGTTCAAGTTTCTTTCGGAGTCCGAGACTCTTCTTGTGGAAACGATGGTATATCATGAGAAATACGAAAGTCTGGGGGTCAATGATGATGGTAATTACCAGCCACATCGTCAATCGGTCGCCTGAGTCGCCGACACTCGAGATTTGCCTCTATCCCCCCGGCGACGATTCCAATCTATGAACCCTGTAACAATAGGTAACAAGCCTGTCAACGCTAACGGTATGATTGACGGTGTGGAGATATTGTGGTGAATATCTTGGCTGGCCAAGGACAGTCATGGCACGGACTCGACGTCGCAGGAGACCTCGTTGGGAACATGCCGGTCATGTAAGGAGAGGTTTGGAGATTTGGACAGAATCATGGATGGAGGGGCTGAAATGTGCTTTAGTTTCTGGTTAATGGAGTCCGAAAAAGAAGCACAAACATTGAATATCCTTGGATAGGGCGATGGGCATTGATTACGGAGTCTTACCTTGATAGCGGTTTGCTTCGATTCAGAAGTGTGGAAAAGTAGGATAGGTGCTTTCACTAGGAAATGAGTAATGAAACCAATGAAGAATAAAGACCAAGAAGGTACCCATTCTCCTCACGTTTACTACAGGAAACATGCTTGCACATTCTAGCGAGTCTTTCTGGGCCCTCCTAACCGACCCATGCCTGCGGTTTGAACAGATGCACGCAGAATGGCATAGACATTCTCCATTCTGCTCAGTGAGAATAAGCTTCTCTGTGTACTTGCTGCCTTGGGTTGCCTCTGGGTAAAATTTGGTAAAATTTTAATAATTACCACAAGACACGGAGCACGATGGTCAAATTCGGCCACGGCCACGGCCACGGCCACGGCCGGCGCTTACAAAGACAGACCGACGGGACCAGGTCCATCGCATGGCACCATCAAGGCGGCCTCACACCACTTGAAACGGACAATGGAGGCTTTTCTGCCATGGATCAGGACATACTGTGCTGTCATTGTTAAATACTGCAGGCTGTCTCCTCGTAATCGACCCCAGCTCTGCTCCGGTGATATCGGGGGGGGAGGGGGGCGCAATTACGAGGAGACAGCCTGCAGTATTCAGATTCAAAACTTCAATACCGTTAGCGGATTCCCCACAATCTTTTGAGATAATACCGACCCCAATGGCCACCCACGACGGCGAGAATCCTTCCCTTAAATCCGCGCCCCCACCTGACGAAGCCCCTGGAGCACCGGTAAGTCAGCGACCAGTTAAGTCCACGAGTGTGGACTACGACACCGAGAAGCGCGACCACAAAAAAAGATGGAGAGACAATGCACGCAGTAAGAAGTCTACAACCCACATCCACGACTACACAAAAATTGGAAACTTCGTAGGGACGCTCTCTCTGCTCACTCGTGCTAATAAAAATGTCCCAGAGCCCGCACATTTGCGGTGGGAAGCCCTGCGAAAGGCATTGCTAAGCAAGGACCCGTTCAGTCGAGACGACCAACGACGAAATCTTGAACGTCTCAACGATGCCATCACACTAAAGGTTATCAAGGAAGACCTTGCCTTTCCACCTCAGATCTCGAGTTTTTGCAGAGCCTGTGTGGCAACGAAAAGACCCGGGTTTTTAAGATCATGTATCGCCCTGCCGAGATGGTTGAGTTCGTCGACTGGTGTCTGCATAGGTCTCGCGGGGAGGTAAACCATACCCAACAGGAGATAGATAATATCTTGGCAAATGATGATCATTTGCCTTGGATTCGGAGACGTTTTCCTTCGTACTAGTGTAGATATCTCGACTGGGAGACGAATGGGGGTGGTGTAGTCGACGGAATGAATTATGTTCAGCTGATATGAGAACGGATTCTACAAACGCACTCCCGTTGAGATGATGTAAACATACCTACCTGATTAGCGACTGTCTTTTCAGCAGGAAACTTGTTAGGCTATGCCAGAATGGCTACCTATTGGGACCCAGAGAAACGAATTTCAAATCACTGCTGTGGGCGACCGCAACTGGTCAGACGGCAGGCGAGTTAGGTGGCTTGTTATACAGGTTGTGAACTGGCCGGCAATTTGGGAAGAGAGAAGTGCCAATAATATCTGATGTGTAACACAGTACCGTAACAAAGACCACAACCACCGTAGATCAAATCTCATGAAACTTTCCCTGAAACGCCGGTTGGAGGACAATGGGTAAATATAAAGACAAGCCCATTGTCAACTTCGGCTAGGTCCAGCTGACGGCCACGCGGCATTACCAAGGAGGCCTCGAGCCATCTTGAAGACAGTGGCAGACAATGGATTCCTGGGCGCAAAACTGAAACACTCCCTTAATATCTTTGAGCACCACACTATGGTTTTCGCTTCCAGATCTCCATCTAAATCCAACAAACAGGGTGCACAGAATATCGTATAATTAATTAGTCCCAGCCGCAAGAGGGCCGTCACACTTTCTAATCAACTGCGAACGGAGAGCCCTCATGGCTAACCCCACCAAATATGGCGCAGACAAGCACTGCATAAACGAAGACGTTGAGCTCCTAGTCGCCCCCTTTAACCGACCGGTTCTACTAAAAGACGAGGGCCCCTCCCAGCGCCGGCGGTAGAGTTCAAGCTTGTTTTACAAGGGCGACAATGTGGAAGACACTGAAGATCTCCTCGACCAGGCGTACGCTGGACAGGAGGGGTTACTCGCCCAAGTCACAGCCCTGCGAAATAGTATTTCGGCCCGACCCAAGGCCCTCCTGGCTCGTGAGCTAGAAAAGAAACAAGAGCAGGACCGTGAGGGTAATAAGTCGTATTTGGACGAAGAGTACGACTTTGGTCATTCTTTCGTTCCCACCACACACCCGGCCGCAAATCTTGCAACCAAAGACGGTGTAGGTCTTCCGCCCATTGGGAAGGGTGTTTGTTATCCGCAAACTAACTGGAAGCAACAGGAATCGCCGACGTCCGCTTATCGAGGACATCCGTGGGATACACAGCGGGAGAATCGGATTCCATATTATCATACATCTTGGGAAACCAAAACTCCTGACGATACTCCCGGCATGATTGACGGCGTGGAGATATCAAAGCAGGCACATGACACCAATGGCACGGCCTTGACGTCGGAGGAAGCCTCATTTGAGACATGCCCATCATGCAGGGCGAGGCCTCTCGGTTCGCACACCAAAAATGGCGAAAGGGCTGAGGTTTGCTGTAGTACTTTCTGGGTTCGGAGTATTATTGAGCGTTGGGGGCGGGAACAGGACGCAAAGGAGGAGGCTGAGGCAAAAGAATTGGCAGCACGTTGGCAAGATGACGAAGCCCGCTTGAAAAAGATGGACTTGTAATTAGCAGTCAGGTCTCGTGTTCCTGGGCTGAGAACCATATTGGCGGGGTATTATAGGTATACCAGTTTCAATCACATTTATAGCTGCGACGTTTAGCTTGTATCTCTGATTTCGCTTCATTTCGTATCAATACCTACCTACCTTAGTTGTTAATATCTGGATACAAAATCACAGGGCTTCAGTAAACATGTCGAGTATTTCAATGAATATTAAACCACTGCTTCTCCGCCCTGGTGCGCCTAGCCGCCTCGACCATCGCCGGCGTGAACAGATCCCCCGCGTCCAGCCGCGCCTGCTTCATCTTGGTGCGCTTGATCTCGGCCATGAGGCCCTGCGTGATGACCTCCTCTGGCTCGTTCGCCGCCGACAGTATGTCCTCCTCGAGCAGCTGAAACGGCACCGGGCCAGAGAATTCCGACGGGTCGCTGCCCCCTGTGACTGCAGCGACCGCCTCGCCGTTCATCAGACCTTCAACGTAGCACTCGCCGACCAGGACGTAATGGTCGATCTGCGGAAGCTCATCCGGGCGCAGCTGCTCGGTGTTCTTGTCATCATTATTGGTCTCCCGCCGCCGTAATACGGGGCGCAAGACAAAGGGGAGATCGGCGCCGGACAAGACGCAGACGACATCCCCCTCGATCACTGAGTCGGACCCGAGACCGAGATACCCATTCAGGGTGATGAAGAGGCGTCGGCGTTTGCATATAGAAACCACGGAGTTGTAGAATCGCGACATGTCTCTGCCTTCGGCCAGCTTCTCGAGCCTCTTTTTGAGCTGTGGGTGGCGCTCGAACACCTTCTGGTAGCTCCTCGCAGTCCAGTCCTTGTCATGATACGTAGACCACGGCCTCTTCTCGCGTCCTTCACGTTCGTTTCTGTCGCAGTCGAGGATGTAGGCCGCAAAATCTGCGAGACAGCTCTCGCTGTCCCTGCCCGAGTCGGCGGCCGTCAAGGAGCCATAGGCGTTCCGACCGGCCGTCAAGGTCCGAGCCAGGAGGCGCAGGCCGTCGTCCGAGGTGAAGAAATCACCCATCGCCTTTGACTCGAGGAGCGCCGTGTCTGCCTGGTGCCACATGTACCCGCAGCATCTCCCGACGACGCCGATCTTGATTCCCTCGACGAGGAGGTTGTCGGAGCCCATCGGAGAGCCGAGGTGCAGCGGGAAGTCTTTTGCGGCTGCGAACCGGTCGTCGTGATCCCAGGGAGCCAACGTGGAACGGTAGACCAAGTCCCAATGGGGCACCCAGGAGGGTAGCGGCTCTGTGGGATACCGGTCGTCCGAGAGCATGGACCGAAAGAGTCTCTCACTGGCGCTGTTGCCAGCCTCGAAGCCTTCCGTGGTGTACTGGACGCTCGAGAGCAAGGACAGGTTCTGGGACTCGCCGATGACCTTGGTTGCGAGCCGTTTCCAGAGCTCGCACTCGGAGATGGAATAATCGGGCCGGAGGAAAAGGAGGCCTGCCTCAGGATCGTTGTCGGTGGTGCGGATGCCGAGCAGACCGTAGATCCGGTCTCGGACATCGGTCACCTCGAACTGCCGCGTGAGGCGCAGCAGCTGGATGAAGGACAAGGTCAAGGGCGGCAGGTCGCTCATCGGAGAGAGCCGGAACATGAAGTAGGCGTTGTAGACGCCGCCCATCTTCATCACCTCGCAGATGGAGCTATAGTTGGTCCGGAGGATGGCAGACGCGAGGCCGATCCACCTCCAGTCCATCTCCGCGTGGCCCCATTTCACCACGGCCGACTGCGCCAGGACGACTTCTTGGATGACCCAGATACGCCAGAACCAGGGGCGAGAGAAGAGGCTGGCGACGGATTTCCATAGCGGCGATGTCGGTGCCGAGGCTACGTCAGCGTCGATCCCAGGATCAGATGGCTCGGGCTTGGGGTTGGAACTTGAAGACCCTGTTGTTTAATATAAGCCAACTGACACTACGCAGCCGGGAAACATGAACCGGGGTCTCACTCACCTTGGGCCCGGGTGCTTGTGTCTCCAGACACGTGCATAACATCATCATCCCACTCATCCATGTCTCGGCGTCCGCCATTGATGAGGCCATGTTGTTGTTGCATAGCCTTCAGGAGGTGCTCCGGGTTCGTACTGCTTGTCACGTTGGACGGATCATTCTCCAAGCGACTGGGCTCTCTCGAATCTTCGTTGTCGACTGCATTTGCAATCCGGTAGCTGGCAGCCTCGAATCCGCCTTGAGCTTCTGTCGTTTTCAGAGACTTCCAGTGATTCACGACATCACAGATAGCCCCAAAAGCCCGCTGGGCCTCGACGTCTTCCGATTCAGAGATCATAAAACCGCGGGATCCTGACCCAACCGGCGCGTCCCCAAGCCATATAATCGTTCGTCGGGCCCGGCGGTAGATATAGGCCATCAGCGAGACCTGGTGCTCCCGCTCGGTCGAGTCGTCCTGGTTGATGCACATGGCGTCGGCCCACAGGAAGGTCGACCTGCTGGTCGACCGGACGTGCCGGATGGCCTGCTCCAGATTCGGCGATATCTTCAGCTCGTGGCCGTTGCACTGCACCGTGACTGTCCGCACGTCCTTGGTCTGCGAACCGAACGTGGGCTTACTCCACACGTAGCTCAGTGCGTCATACTCCAGATGCAGGGCGTCGAGGTCGGCGTAATGGAACTTGCAGATGATGGGGCTGCTAAAACTACCAGCCTTGATCTCGAGCACTCGGACGATGCTGCCGCGATGGAGCGCATGGTACAGCAGATCTGTCTTGGTTCCGTACTGGCCAAGGGTGCTGCCCCGAGCTGTCTCCGGGGAACTTCGAGCGCCCAATTTGGATGGGATCGTTGATGGGACCTTGGTGAGGACGTCGCGACTGTCGTCCTCCCTATCTGTAAAGGCATCATGACGCGAGAGCGGTGGCCAGATAGACTTCTTCTTGGCCCAAGCAGGAGACCCGTAGTAGATAGCTGCAAAATGAGAACCATCCATGTCAGTGGTGGACAGTCAACGCGGAAACTGGATATTCACGCAATTACGATGATTACGCACCGTTTGTAAAGGTGGATGTAAGGCCATATTCTCTGTTTCTCCGCTTGCGGTAGGCTTCGTAAAACAACTGATCCATGGCGAGGTACGTATAGAGACGGATGAACCCTGGTTGCAGCAAATTCGGGTCGGGACGAGGGAGTGTGATATAAGCCGCAAAGAATGGTGGGCGGCAGTACAAAGCCTTGCTTATTTCTCCTAGATTTCTGTCAAACCTCGGGCGGCATGTCGAAACACGTGGCCACCAGTAATTGGCGGGTTTACGATACATTGGGTGGTTTACTGCCAGGCGGCAGGACGAGGCTCTGGTTCCGAACTCGGTTGCTCGCACCGTCATCGGGCGAGCCGTGCTCTGAAACGCGACTCAGCCACAGAGTTTGACCTACCGAAATATAGCCAATCGACTGGACATGCTGCGGTCAGAGCGACTGTTTGGAGGAGTCGGCTCTTCGATCGCGCGTTTGACTTGCTAAGTCGGCCCCCCTGGATTTGGGCCACCCCCCATTTGGGCCACTTGGCAAACCACACCGCTTTTCCAACCACCCCATCTTCAACTTACCACAGCTCAGTCAACCTTTGGCCAAATAAGCCCATTTTTCGACCAAATCTTCGCCAATACAAGATGGCTTATACCGAACAGGATTTACAAGATGCGGTCGCAAAATACCACACCAGTCGCTCCTCAATTCGAAAACTCGCCCAGGAATTCGGTATCCCCCGGTCTACTATCCAGAACCGGGTCTACGGCCACCAGCCTCATTCAACTGCAGCCGAATCACTCCAGATCCTTAGCCCAGTGCAAGAAGCCCACCTTACGCAGTGGGTTTTGACCCAGGTAGCCCTCG